AAAAAAAAAAAAAAAATATTACGTCATTTTATTGTACTCCGCAATTATTCGGAACCTAATTAGCCCCGAAAAATGTTATAAGGGCATACTACAGTCACGTGGGGGAATGATTCTCTCATTTTAATACAAGTCATTAGACTTTTTAGTTTGATTTGAGTCTTAGTAAATGCTGACGTGACAATTTTTTACTCTGAGTTTTAATGTAACCTTACTGTTGCACATTAGAGGTTAGAATTTACGGATTAGAGTGAAATTTAAGGGAAAACTAGGTTATCATTCAACGGTAAAAAGTNAAAAAACGTACCCATTGTTCCGGAAGCATCGCTGCCTCCATAGAAGGTTGCGTGAGCTTGAGTCCAACCGGAAGCCGTGAAGCCATTGGCGTTAATGATGAGACAAAAGAAGCAAACTGCGAGCACAATGGGTAATGAAACTCTGTTTTTAGGCATCTTTTAATGGCTTTGGTAAAGAGAAGATGGAATAGTTATTGATAACAAATTTTTTTATTGAAGATTTCTAATTATTGCAAATGGCTACACAAGAATTTGGACCTTTTATATAGGTGTGGAAAGCAACCACCCCAGTGACCTCACATGCAAGTGACAGACCTGCAAATGAGCAGACAAAATTATTATCATATTTTTTTATTGTGAAAATTGAATTATCTTATTGAAAACCAGAATCTCATCCAATCATTCCCATGTTCTCCTTCTCCACTCTTTTCCAAACTTCGAATTATTGGTGTATCACATAATTTAAAGGACATTTGGTGTGTGTACACAATCAAAGATAAAAAAAGAAATGAATAAATAATGATATATAGGATATACCTGGTAAAAATATTAGCATAATTTCACCTCTGCATGTGCCTCTCTTTTGACAATATATGGCTTGGCCCCATTATTCTCATGTGTCTTGCACATGCGTTATCTTTGACAATATAAGATGGGGTGGTGGGATTGTCTGTATTTATTGCTATTACACTTGGATTAATTAGTGGTTAAACCCTTTGTTAATTTGGTTCTAAAAGTTTTGATGTTAGGTAAAAATAGTGAAATAAGTCTTTCAGACAAAATTTTCAAGTCCGCCCGGTCAATGACCCGGGTTGACCTCGGGTGGTTGTAGTGTTTATGACTTATTATCTTAATTTTGCTCTATTTTTGTTTACTTTGTGTTAAGAGGTAAAAGTAGTTTCTTGTCTGGAATGTATTTGTTGAGCTCGATTTTAGTTAAAATTACTATTTTTTGTCTTATTTTGCTTGCCTAGGGCAATTAGATTGTTAAAGTTTGAATCTTTCGAGGTAAAATTCGAGACTTTCATTAAAGGTCCATTATTTCGCAATTGATCGTTCAACTTTAGCGTCTAGTTGTGTTAGGTCGAGCTTATTTCTCTTTGTTTGTGTCTTTTTACGGATTTTGAACACTCTATACAAGTAAAGTTTAAAACTTTCTTCCAAGCTTGCTTTTTTAGTTAATTGCTTTTCATTCTGGTTAAAGGCAACAATCAAAATAATGCCTATTATCTTATGATTTCAAGCTATACTTGGTAGTCCCCTTTGTGCCCTCAAAGATGTGTTTAGAGTCCTAAAACCTTTTATGTAGCCCTTTATCTCTGATCTTGCTTCCAACCTTCTTTATCCGTTCCCTTCTTTGACTGTCTTTCTTAGCTGCCTGTGGCGATCGTGCTCCCCGACTCGGGAATCACTGTAACGTCCTGAATATTTTTACTTTTTATGGGGCTCGACTTTATTTCCATAAATAGCAAGTTTCCTTATTTGATGCATTTATTTATTGTTATTTGCATTAAATTGAGTATTAAATTCTAAGGCTAAGTCATGGAGGATCCGTTCGATTTTTAATTCCAAAAATTGAATTATCCTAGCCCATGTATCGGTTTTATTTTTAAGATAAATCGAGCTTTGGAAAAATCACAATTTAATTTAAGTCGGGTCGAAGCCCAGACGAGCCGAGTCTCGACCCAATCATTTTCGAGCAAGCCCATTATATTCGGCCCATTTTATAACTCGAGCCTATGTTCGATTTTAATCCGGCCCATTTTATAACTCGAGCCCATGTTCGATTTTAATCCGACCCATTTTATAACTTGATCCCATATTCGATTTTAATCTGACCCACTTTATTTTCCGGGCCCATTTAATCGAGCTCAATCATTTTATTTTTGTTGACCAAGTCAACTTCATATGACATAGTCCCGTCATATTTTAACTAGCCATGTTCGATTTTAAATTTGCCCGGACATTTAATTTTTAAGCCTGAATCAATACCTAGTCAAAGCCTGATTGCACAAGTCTAAGCCCAACTTTATCTCCAAACCTTAACTCACTCTCACTACTATAAATATAACGATACCACTTAGCACACCATCATCTTCTTCATTCTCCCAACATCATAAACCCTGGATCTAGATATACTCCATAGCAAACATCATCTTCCTTAGCCTCCATAGCCACAAATCCGGTCACCATCTCTGTTTTCCGGCAGTACCTTCCCATTTTCCGGCGAGCTCCGTCGAACCCACGCCGGCAGACCCACGTCCAAGCCACATCCATGCCGTTCGCACGCATCTTAGCCCTGCTCGTTGTTCGTCGTCCCAGCCGCGCGCCGCCGTCCCTGCCAGCTCCAGTGCACGTCTGCTCGCCGGCGTTCCAGACCCGAGCAGCTGCAGTCCGTACGCGTCGCACCTGCTCGTCCGTTCGCAAGCCCTCGTCCATGCAACCAGGACACCGTCACGTCCATACGCCTCGCCTCGTTCCCAGCGACGAGCCACCATGCCTCGCATCCGTAAGCCCCGTTTCCAGCAGCCTGCGTCTATAAGCACGCCGTTCCCAGCAGATCTATACGCGCCTCACCATCCCGCGTCCATACGCCGGCGTTTCCAGCGGCCCGCGTCCGTACGCGCGCGTACCAGGCCAGCAAGCAGCAGATCAGGCTAGATCCAAGCAGCCTAGTCCGGTTCCAGCCTTAGCATCTTTCAATTTTTGATTCGAGCCCTTAGGGAGGTATAATGGTTGAACCTCTTACTCCATGGCCTTAGACAACAATTTTAGTTTATTTTAAAATGGTAAATGATGAATTTGAGTGAGATATGAATTTATCTAGATTTATTGAGTTTAATAGATAATAATTCACATTAAATTGCGTGCTGATCCAAAAATTGTGATTCCAATTTTATTCCAAAAATTGAGGCTTAAGTTTAAATTTGGGAAATTTTGGAATTCGTTTGGTATGTGAACCGAATTTGTGAATTTTGTCCGATAATGCCTGATTTTGGTTGACTGAGTTAGGGGTTGAATCTTGTTGTGATATTTTAGCCAAAAATCTTATACATGTTGAGGTTGTTGTGGTTTATATTTCGTGATTTTTATAGATCGTTTGATATAGTTTAAAAATCGAAACTTTAGCCTTGAATTACAGTACTTTTAGAAATTGTTCCGGTTGTGATTTAGCTGCAATGGTTTGACCTAAAATCCTCATAAATCACATATAACTTAGGGTTAAAGTTTCGGCTTAAAATGAGTTAGGTTGCTCGGAGAACTAGAACCCTAGTTTTATCTATTTCTGAAAACTGGGTAATTTTTAGATCCGAGCATAATCGCCTGAACCCTAGTACTGCATAAATGACATTAGAAGTCATAGGGTTATAAATGAGTCCTTGGGTGCCAGGATGTGGTCGGCCGGCCGGTGAGTCACCGACAAGACTATAATCGAGCCTTAGAAGGCTACCGAGGCCGTGTGCCTCGTAGCAAGCGTAACCAACCAACTGACATGCATTAGCATATATCCTCAATGGGTATCATCGTCCCGCACACGTGTCTCACTCTCGTTCGATCGTTGGAGTCAAGCCACCGAGTGCGTGCCCGTGCAGCGAGCTTGACCGAGCCGCGCCCCTGCGCTCTATCCAACGCCAGTGCGTCCGTCCGATCTACCGTCAACGCATCATTTTTCGTTAGCCGTGGTCCAAGCACACCCCTGCGTCAGTGACCGTGGCACCGTTTAAAACCCGTGCGTTGGCATGTCAGTCGTGTTCGTGCGTGTCCGTGAGTTGCTACGCCGAATCCGGACCACGATTAAGTCGAGCTGCACATAGTCAAGCAAGTGAGTCGTTAGTCCAGTCCAGTCGAACCGGTCAGGGCAGTCCGAACGGTTCAAGAAGTTTTTAGTTCAGCCGAATCAGTCTGGGCAGTCTGGAAGATTCGGGAGTTTTAGTACGAAACATCGGTTTGAGCGTGAACCGAGATTTCAGTGCTTTTCTGAACCAGTTAGATTGAGATCCAGTCAGATTAGAGTTCCAGAATTAGAAATATTTCAAAGAACTCTAGTATGCCTCAAGACAATAATTTTTCCAATTAGCTCGTAATATTCTAAAATAATGATTTTAAAACCGAGTGAGCGAACTTAGTAAGATCAGATAATAAAATTCGAGTTTTCAATTTGGACATAGTACTTAGAATATTTCGCTCAAATATTTTGAACCTTGAGGAGAGTCGAGCCTCCACCTACTACTCAGCTATTCCAGCATTTGCATTTCGCCAGCTTCCAGGTGGGGACCCTGTACTATGTATCTCATTGCTTTTAATTGTTTATCCTGTTTGAAGTATGTGTGCGAGTAAATTGAGGACCGAGACGGATGAGTGATATCGTCTTGGTCAAGACTTCAGATTTCAATTACGACTTGGATGAGTGGTGCACGATGCCCAGCCTAAGTCTAGCGTCCAGATGTGTAGTGCCCAATGCCCAACATGGATTTCTGTGGGAGGGGACCCCCAGAGTGTGCACATGAATACCGGATTACCGATAGTCCCAAGTAGCCGATTTATTTATATATATGTTGATTTCATGATTTGCTATTAATGTGATGAATATTCAGTGCCAGTTCCGGCGGAGCACGTTGATTCATTATGCTCACGTCTCTCCACTAACCATTTTTCAAGTGACGGAGTCCCGCGTGGCTCATGAGCTGAGGTGTGGTGGTGGTCAAGCTGCAGGATATTTTGTTATAGCATGTCATGTAGTATAATTGATCGTGTTTGGATTATTTTATATTTGTGTGTGATGCTTGTTTGTGTATGTTGGTTTGTATTTTTGAACTATCATCTGCTTCCGCATTTCAGAACATGTATTTCAGATTTCAAATTTTTAGTCTATGCATGTGTAAGTCCACTAATTTTCATGGCCTTAATTCTAGAATGAATTTTTACTTTAGTGCATGCGTAGTAGTAAAAGAGATAAAAGATAAAGAGATACTAATTAAAGTTGAGTAGCATCCGTAGTTAAAGTTAAAGAGTTTTCAAAACAGTTAAATTGAGTTTTCGAAAATTAAATCAGTGTTTCAAATTAAATAGCGCGAAAAATTTACTCTGATTTTATTATTAGTAGGCGGGGTGTTACAATCACTCCCTTTGTCTGGATTGTACCGGTGTCTGGATTG